ACATACAGAATTTCAATAAAATCTGAAATCTTCAATTGTTCAAACTGGTTATTATAAAATGCAACATCTTTTCAATGAAAGTATTTTTAACAGTATTTATATAATGGGAGTTTTAATAATTTGTCATTAAGCTGAACTATACAGTAACTCTTGTTCTTGTACATCAAATGTATTTTTCTGACAAAATCCTGTTTAGAATGGTTGTATGGTTAGAATGACTGAATTTTTTTCTCCATGTTCTTTTTATAAGCTGTTCCTAGTAGAAGTTAATTTTAATGGTCGTACTAAGGTTTAAAACTTCTTACAAAAAGTTACTTTTTAGTTGGATATTTAAAAACTTAAAAAAGCTTCTCAATATTTTCTATTTGTTTAAAATCACTTTTTTTTTTTATTCTGCATGCTGATTAAAAACTATCAGCTTGCATTTAGTTAACACTTCCCCTCTTCAGTTGGCAATCTAATTTTCTTCATAGCTTAACATATTTTAACTTTTGTAAGCAGATAAGTTTAAATGAATTTCCTTGAATATATATGTATAAATGTTTATACACAGTTATTATCAGCATTTCACTATAATTTCTTTAATGAGGGATTTTAAAATTTCTATTTCTATTAGGGTTGTACCAATTGGTTGTTACCTGGTAATTTAATTTCTATCAAAGATTGGCCGAAAAAGAAAAAAATCAGGAATAATTATTAGAACGTTATTTACATTTATTCTATATCTAAGCTCACTGAGACATAGAATAAATGTAAATAACATTCTAATAATTATTCCTAACTGAATGAAATTTCTGGATGTAATAAACAAGGTTAACTGAATATGAATTTCAATTAATCAATGCAACTCTAATCTACTAAATAATAATCATTGCTCTTTGCTAAAACTTGAAATTACTGACTAATATATATTGTATGTAGAGTATTTCCTGATGGGTTATTGAATGCATCATTTCATTTATTAAGTTATATTAATTTAGCTGTTCTGAAAATCATTCACTGTATTGTATATATAATTTTATTTTGTACAAGTTTTCAGTGGATACACTTTCATAGTATTAATATAGGTACCTCCATGAGATCGCTAAAAAAAAAAAAGCATAGCATGATGAAAAAGACGCCAAACTTGATGAAAACAATTTTATCGTCTAAATGTTTATTATTGAGAGGAAAGATCAAGTATTGGGGGTATTTTTTTTTTTTTTTTTTCATTTTCATTTTTTAATCGTTCCTAGCACGTCCAAAATTTTTGTTAAAAATCTGACCATTTTTTTCCATTTTATAAAAACCTGGAAATCTCACTTTGAAATTCTTTTAAATATCAATTATCATTTTTTCAAAACTTATTTTAAGAAAATCAAAAATTATAATGTTTATTTAAAATATTTTGAACCAAGCTTAACTTAGCTTCTGTGTCGAAAAGATGTAATTTGAAAATAAAACAAAGCCGGTCATAAACTTTCGCGTCACTTGACATGTGATGAATGACATATTGACGGATTCCGTGAGGATAATTTGTTTTACAGGAGAAAAGTGGAATTATTTACATTTAAGTGACCAAATTACTTACCTCATTATTTTTAGGAAAACTTTCAACACTTTAATTTTTTTTTTTTTTTTTTTTTTTTTTTTTAGCTTTCCCCTTTACATTTACAATGCTTTAAGGAAAATATATTATAAAGAAATTAAAATGAGACTGTTAAGAGTGAGATTAAATTTCATATTTCATAAGAAAGGTATCTAATTAATCTATAGGTACCTTTCTTATGAAATTTTATCGGAAGTGTACATAAAATACTATAATTTTTTGTATATTTATTACATTTTACTGTGTTATTTGTATTTCCATTCATTTTATTATTAATTTTGATTTTTCATTTATGGAAAAATGTCATAACTGGGATTAATATAAAAATAGATCATATAAATTTCATAAGATGATACTGATACTTCTAGGTACCCTTCTCAGTTGAAATTGAAAAATCAAATTAACTTCTCCACACGTGTTTCGCAAAAATAAAGGCCTTAACAGCAGAGAACAATGCTTAACTCAAATAACGCAACTTAATTGTATTCTGGTTGGTCTTCTGTACTTTATAATTACAGCCCGATTATAAACACAAAATTACATTTCTTAATTACTGCGGATCTTCTGATTAGTCAAAATGATACAATTTACAACGCGCTAAAAAAAAAAAAAGATCTATCTCATAAGGACACTTAGGAAACCCGATGTGGCTTTTTATAATATTTTAAAAACTTAAATGTAAAAATCTATTACAATTAAGAAATAACAAATAATTGTATTAAAAATTCATTTTTCATCAAATTTTTTTTTTCTTTCAGAAAATATTGTCCATATTCATAAAAACAACTAAAAGAAAATAAAAGCATTTGAAATTAAATAATATCTTTGTTTTATTGAGTTATGTATGTTATCATTCAGAGCTGATTTTCAAGTGGTTCCAATTAAAAACAAACAAAAAAAAAATGATTTGCATTCCTCAAAGCCTTGTCCTTTTAACTATTGTAATCACTAAACCTATGCGATCGAATTTCTAGCATTTTCATAAAATTAGTTATGGGGGTGGTAATAAATATAAAGAAAATATTTCTGCCATGACTTTAATAAAAAAAAAAAAAAACATTTATAATAATTTCGATCATCTGTGAATAGTTTCTGAAAGTTTCATTAACATCTGACAATTATTTTTATTTTTGCAAGATTTTCCAAATTAATATGTGTCACAAAAAACCCCAAAAAAAACGTGCTAAACATTGTATCTATTATTTTACTAGTTCCGGTGATACAAAGAGAAACAAGGTTTTTTTTTTTTTTTTTTTTTTTTTTTAATCAAAATTTAGAATGTTTTAAAAAGAAGGAAAAAATTTTAAAAAATAATTAAAATAAACTTTGATCTTTCCTCTTAATAATAATATAAACATTTAGACGATAAAATTTTGTTTTTGTCAAGTTTGGCGTCTTTTATCATGCTATGCTCTTTTTTTAGCAATCCCGTGGAGGTACCTATATGGTTTCTTTTTTTTTTTTGTTTTTTTTTTCCTGTTTGTATAGAGTAGAATTTTTTCATTTTGAAGTTGTTTTGAGGTGTTTAAATGTGTTCTCTTCAAAATGTTTTTAAATATTCAATAACTAAACAATTTAGAACAAACTCATATGACCCGGAATGTTGAATTTGCCTATTTTTATATGCAATTTCAATGAAGAACAAACAAAAAAAAAAAAACACAGTTTTTTTTGTTTTTTTTAATGATGACAAATATGGCTCCTTTTTCAAAAAGGAAAATTCTTTCAAATGAATAGCAGTCAAATCCAATGGAATCTCTGTAAGATAAATATTGAAGAATGAATGCAATTCACTAACTTATGCTTATGATAGAATTTGATCTAATTGAATAGTATTTGGCTTAGCAAACTTACAAATATTTCCTAATTTTATTAGGAGATATATATATATATATATATATATATATATATATATATTTTTTTTTTTTTTTTTTTTTTTTTTTTTTAACCAAAAGATTGTGACTGAGAATATTTAGATAATTGCCTGGAATAAAGGTGGCCATAATCTAATTATTTTATGTTAAGAGGAGCCTTTGAATTGTGATTGGGAAATTAGTTTTAGATATCATTTTCAATTTTCTTCTAAACAGATGTTGATTGGTTGTCACTATTTATTTGGAGAATGTTTCTTTCTCATTTTTTTTTTTTTATTTAATTTAACATCTCACTCAAATATTGTTTAATCTTTCATTACTTAACTCATTTTTCTTTGAGTAGGCATAAGACTTAAATAAATGAAACATTGTTATTGCATGTAAGAGATTCAATTTTTTAACTACTTTGAAAAATCAATAAAAATTCATTTGCAAATTTAAAATCTTTTTTTAAACTTTTGGCAAATTATCCCTAAGCTTAATACACTGTCAAAACATTAGGTGTTTAGTATAATTGATATTGAAAGAAATTAACATGCTCTTTTAACTTTCATTTGTTCTCTGATTCTATCACTATCAATTTTATTGATGTTTAATTACTATAAAATCATCCATAAAATGAAAAGTTGGGTTATTTTAACTTGTATTTTTTAGTATTAATGTGTATTATATCATAATCTTTTAGTCTTTTTACAAATTTAGATATATGTAGCCATTTCAATTTTTGAATAAAATAAGCTTAAATTTGTATGGTATAGCTATTTTGTGTGTGTGTGTCTCTGAACTCTAAATTGTATAGGATTGCATTCATACAAAAATACATTTGATTTAATCACTGTCCATTTTTAACAGTATTGTATCATTGCATTATGACTTTTGCTAAAGTGCAAAAATTTCAACAATTTAAGGTGCCTGCTTTTAATATATGCATTAGGTATTCTACTTTTTACAGGTGGTAGGTAATATGAACTAGAGATAACATTTTCCTATTTTATGGTATAAATATAAAACATCTTTTAAAGAACCTTTTTTCATCAATAACAAGGAAACCTTTTAATAAATAATTGTTAATGCAATAAGTAAGGAACTAATTTAAATAGTTGAATTTTGATATGCTGATCTATTTCTATTTTTCATAGTTAAATTTATTAACAACTGCAAATGAAGATTTTCAAATATTTCTACATTGTTGAAGTTTTTAATCATGTTTTTCAAACATTTTAACTAATGTTATAACATTTACAATAATTTACTTTATTCAATTTAAATGGATTTTTGATAATGGTTGACAACTTATGTCCTAAGAACACACTAACATATATATATATATATATATATATATATATATATATATATATATATATATGTGTGTGTGTTTTTTCAACTTAAAACTTTAAAAAGCATTTTTTTTTTGTTTTTCTTGGTGTTAGCCATAATGCTTAGGCCAGTAAATTATTTTATAAAATTATGATCTGCATAATACTCTTTGCATTTTTTTTTTTAATTTTGGAATTGTCACTTTTTAATTTTATTTACAGCTCCACAATGCAATCAACAGCAATCAGAAGGAGAAGTATGAGCAAGACCTTAAGAAGGAAATCAAGAAACTCCAGGTAAAAAAGGGGGAGGGTGCTTTCATGTGAGTTTTAACATCTTTTTATTCGTTGAATACAACATTCGATAAAATGAATATATTTTAAGGTTATAGCTTTTTAATATTTTTAAGTGTATGTTTTATTATAACATAGTTACTAATTCCCTCACATTTGATTTAATTGTTCTAGCAATCAATGAAACTAAATTTATTTTATGCCACTTTTTTGTTACTAGTTCAATTTAGATGTTGATTAACATTTATAAATTTAGGTTTTGTTAGACAAGTATTTCTCATACAAACTACCTGAACTAAACTTTAAATAAATTGTGTAGATATTGTGTAATTACAACTGAAAATGCTTTTAAATGATGGTATCATAAAAAGTAACAAACAAACAAACAAGCTAGCTTACTACTACATACTGTTCATGTTTAAAAACAATGTTCAGTAACTATTGTTTCATACTGAAAATATTTTTTTAGTTCTATAAAATTTCTATAATTTATAAAAATATCCTTTAACTTCGAGTGCTATTTTAAATAGAGTAATTTTAACTTAATTAAAAAAAATATGCTTTACATTTACTGTATAAATTATTTTTCCCCTTTTGAAGTTGTAATATAAAAGAATTTTGAATGGATTTCAATAAACTGGTTAAAAATATTTGTACATTACATGCATTTTTAAACTGCTATTTAAGATAACTTCAACTATGATTTGAAGGAATCTACAAAAAAAATCTTTGTAGTTTGCAGCTAGTGAAGATATGGAAATTTTGACTATGGGAAATTTCATTGTTTGCTGAGAGGGCAAGGAAAAGAGGACTTCTCATTTACAAGAAAAAATTAATAGTAGAAAACAATTATTATGGAAGAAATGTCAAAAGTTGACCTCCAAAAAAGAGGATAAAAAAAAAAAAACATAAGCTATTGTTATGCCTGGGTTTTCGTTAGGACTACGATAGCCGGGACGTAACGAGAAAAAAAAAAAAAAAAAGAGATCCCAAGGTTCAATATAAAAATAAAGGAAAAGAACTGTGGGAGGGGAATTCTCCGAATCCAGACACCGGTAAATACAGCAAGAAATATACAATACATGGACACAAAATGACAGGAGACAATACAAGAATCTATAATAAAAATAATTTATTTGCAAATATACAAGATGCAACAGTAAGATAAGAAAGAAATAAACAAAACTTAACACAAGGGATGGGGAGATAAGTTATCAGTTAGACAATATTAATGCGATAAATATCATAGGAATGTAGAGCAAGCAGACAATAAGATATATATAAAAAAACATGTAACTCTCACAGTAGATGATGATTGATGTCAATCAGGATTTTCCCCAATAATACAGTGTAACAAAAAAAGATGTTCATAAACTTTTTTTTTTTTTTTTAACATAAAAGGGTTAGGGTTATCAATGTTCTAGTATCATAAAAATGTAGCTGACTTGGGTGATGACATTCCTAATTCTTCAGGCAGCAAACAGAGAAATTTGGGTTTGGTGACATCTACTCCTTCGGGCCACAAACAGCGAAATTTGGTGTTGGTAATATCTACTACTTTGGACTGCAAATGGCTAAGACAGATTCTGGTGTCGCCTACCTCATCCGGGGACCAGCAGCTAAGTGAAGAATTCTTAACCCTAACATGTACGAAACAAAACCGTCATGTGCCAGCTTACGAAAAATGCGTAGGCGTCATTTATGGAATATTGTTGGGGTCATTTGCACTTTTTGTCAAACAGCATTTATTTGGCCTACAATCAAGAACCAGACAGGAAATGAGAGGTTCTCTTCCGAGAACTGGCCTTGAAACAAAAATATATCTCACAATCTGCTTTTCCAAGAAATAAAGAAGTTATTAATATTCCTATGTCTCGTCGCACGTGTACTTAAAATATACTTATAAAATCTAAGGTGATGGTACATATATGGGGTTAACGTAACACTATGAATAATTTACTAATTTAACATGGTTAATACTAGCTTACTTCTTCAGATTATTATCTATTTAGGTCCTTCAACTGACCTCTATCCACTGAAGCATTCTACACAGACAATGCTGGTTTTGTAGAGGTGTAAGCATTGTTCTAGACACAAGCGTCTTTGAAAATTGACCAGATGAATTTATTAATATATCTAAGTAATCCACTATGCTGAATGCTTTACCATATTTAAATTTGAAAATCTTTCAAGAATATGAGTGTCATTTAAGTTAGCCTCTTTCACATTTATGAAAAATATCTATCAGACGTGTTACTCCAAAATAGATCCTGATGTCTCTTATGCTGTTTTTGCACGTAGAAAGTAGACTCCAGAAAATGTGAACTTTGACCCAGAAATCTGACAGAATTGCATATTAATATTGCATTAGCTACTTTCATTTGGCTTAAAGATTAACTTCTCTGTTGAAACATTACTTTCAGTTAAATTAAGTTTGATAAACTTCATGGTTGAAATGGTGAATTTTCTACTTATACAGTCTATGCTTGTGCTGAAGTAAAAGCTTTTTGGTGTGTGTGTATAATATATATATATATATATATATATATATTTTTATATATATAAATAATGTGCATGTTTTCATGCTGGTATTTAAATTTGATTATCAGGTTTTGGAGTCTTTGTATAGCCTCTCCACCCTTTTTTTTTTTTTTTTTTAATGAAACTGAAAAAAAGGAAATATTACTAATTGATTTTAGCCAGAGAAAACTGAAAGACTAGCCTAGGCCACTCTGAACATTACATTTATACTTAATGCTCAAAGGTAAGGAAATTAGATTAATCTAATCCTTCAGTAAATGAGATTCAACTTTGATAGTTTCTTTAATTTATTTAAAATGATATATATATACAATTTATTTTCATAATCTTAATCATTTAATATCAAATTGAATTACAATAAAAAATAAAAGCTTTTCATTTTGTTAAATGAATAGGATTAGGCTAAAATTGTAATTAAATTACTTTATCTCTTGTGAATCTAGAATAGACTTAATAATGTTAAGATTTTTATATAGTTTTGGAGATGGCCACAAAACTTGACAGTAATTTATGAAATTTTTTTCTCTCTCTCTCGCTTTTTGGCAGATGTTTTTATTTTATTTAATTTAAATTTGCAGAGGCTCCGAGATCAGATCAAAACATGGGTGGCCTCCAGTGATGTAAAGGACAAACAAGTTTTGACTGACAACCGGAAGCTAATAGAAATGGTAAGTATTACATTTTTTTTTAATTTTAAATGTTTTTCATTCATTATTACATGCAGTTATCATATAAGTATTTATGTGAATCATTTTCTTTTAACTGATACATCCATTGTTGTTGTAGCAAATGGAAAGGTTTAAGATTGTTGAGAAGGAGACAAAGACAAAAGCTTATTCCAAAGAAGGTCTTGGTGCTGCAGCCAAAATGGATCCAGTCACAAAAGAGAAAGGGGAAATCATTAACTGGTTATCTGTGAGTATTTTTTTTCTCATTATTTTTCTATCATTATGAGAAAAAAAATAAGGGTACACATTTATAATTCTGAGCATAGTCTTTTCATGTGCACAACTACAGAATGTTGATATTTAATATAAAAATTGTTACTCTTTTGAGTCAAGTGGTTTTATAGCAGGGCTAGAGATTGTCATTTTGGGGACAATAAAACATTAGTTTGGGATGAATGGTTAGGTATTTTGTGATGATTTAAAATTCTACATTTATTATAAAAGCAAATAATCTCTTAAAATAAATTCTTCTTGCCAACAGTGTTAGGTTACACACACACAGTTGTGCACATACATATAAAAAATAAAATTTGAGCACTTTTTAAACTGGTTAATGAAAAATGAAGTTTGAAAGATTTAAATTTAGATATTTTGTATTATCTCCAAATGGAAAAAAAAAAATTATCTGTGAGAACTAATTTTGCTTTAATAAGCGAAGGAAGAAAATTATTTTTAGTTAAAAAAAAAAAAAACTTGAATTATTAAGAAACAAACTTTTTCTACTTACATAAATGAAATTGTAAATACAAGAGAGGATTTAAAAAATGATTAACACTGAAAATTTAAACATGATTTGAGGCAGGTAACTGTAAACGAAAAATGTTTTGATAAAGACTTTAAAAATTATGACTTAGTTGGATTATGCTAATATTCTTTATTATTGAAAAATGAATGTATACAGAATAATTCTTAAACTAGAGTATGATTCAAAGTTTCCCATAGCATGAAAATGAATTAAAAAGAACATTTTTGTGTTAAAAAATTATTCAATTGTGATTTTAATTGAAATGTTTTAATAAAAATAGTTATGATTTTTATGATTATCAGAATTTAATTTTTGTATTCATTTGCTTTTAAAACTTTATATAATTCCCTAAACATTTTAATGGTGACTATTATGCTGCTAATAACTATAAAATGAAAACAAAGTTAAAAAAATTTTTGTTGATAAAAAAAATATTGGTCTGGAGCCCTGAAGTACAGTAATTTTGTTTTCATGAAAGTAATAGCTTCTAAGCTCACATTTTGTTCATTATTGAGAGTAAGAATGGGGGTGGGGGGGTGCATGGCTTCTTTGCCTGTATTATAAACAGTCCTATATTGTCTGTTACTAAGTATATACTTTATATATCTGGAAAAAGTCAATAAGTATAGAGCACCCAGTAAGGAAACTAAATTGTAGTAGTAATTGCAGGGAAAACTTGCTGACCGCTGATGCATAACAAGGTACCCAATTGTGCATCTTTTATAAACTCAAAACATTGCATATCTAATAATGTCTTGTATATATTTTCAACTCTGAGTAGTCTTTCTATTGATAGAAACTATTTTTTTTTTTGCTTTTCAAATGTTTGTTTTGAAAAAAATAATTTCTGATGACTCAATTTATTGAATATTCAAACATGAAAATCTTTAAATTTTCTATTATGCAAACAGTTTTAATTCAATTTCATTTTTTTTTTATTATACAAGTTAATCCATTTACTCAAATTTTATTGTTAGCTACATTAACTGAAAATAAACCAATCCATTATAAAATAAGTTCAATTTTTCTCACTTCCCTGCTTGAGCTAAATAACCAATCTCTAAGCTTTTTATCTTTTCTACCTGTATAAATTGTTAATTTTAAAATGTTGTAAACCTTTGACATGTATCTTTTAAAAGTATTACTTTTCACTTAATTTTAAGCTCCCCCTTAAGTTGATGTGGGAATAGAGAATTCTTTTTTCTTTTTCAGCATTCTATAGAGAGCTTGAATATGCAACTTGACAAGTTTGAAAGTGAATTGGAGACATTAGTTGCAGGGTCCAAAAAGAAAAAACTTGACAAAGAGGTTTGTTTAACTTATATTTTCATGGCTTATATACAGATTTAGTAATCATAAATTGTCCAAGCACTTTAGATTTTTTTTTTTTTTTTTTTTCTAAAATGAAATTTTGTGAAAAAATCTTTGTAGAAAAATCCATCTCCAAATTCCTAAGTTAACTCTATTTTGCAATCACAATAAAGAACACATTAACTGTTTTATTTATCAATGTAACCTAATACTGCTTTATCACATTTTAATTTGTTAGTGAGCACAGATAGCATTATACAAGAAGATGCTTTGTCTAATCAAGAAACTTTCTGAAACAAATCTGGTATTTGGTCCAAGAAAATTTTAGTGCTCTCTCATAGGTATAGATGTATTGTGAAATAGTAATTATATAAGAATTCTCTATGAATATGCAGTAAAGATTTTCTATTATAAAAAAGATATTGTTTTAATAATATTACCAGTGTGGAAATCATAACTTTAAAGATAAATATTCTTATTTCTTCAAAGTATTTAATTTGCTTTGAACCAGCAAAAAAGGCAACTGACATTAACAAGTTATGATGGCTATTTGGAAGAAGCAGACTTGCTTTTTTAATTTCTAAAATGTTGGAATTTAATTTTTGCTAGCTACTGATTGTATTGGTATTATTTTCTGGTTTCAGTTTTATATCTTCATAGTTAAATTTTATACAAATTATTATAAAGAAACATTACTTCACAGTCTCCTTTTATCTCTACATTAAAAGCAAAGGCATTTGGCTTAGACTTAATGGTCAATAAAAACAGATAATCACAATTATAAAATTGAAAATGTGTCTGCTAATGTGCATAGTAGAAACTAGTATTCATGATATTAAGTAATATTATCTTTAATACTTTGTGTATTTTACTGTTGTTAATCACTAGGAATTTGATTTAAAGTGTCTTGATAAATTTGACACTTTTTTAGTAATTCTGTAGTGCAAAATTAACAGGAAAACTTGATAGAAAAAAAAAAAATTCTTTCAATGAGAAAATTTTAGCAATAAATCTGAAAATATTATTTATTGGAAAGAAAAGTTATTAATGCAAACACTATCTTTTGCTCTCTCTCATGTCGAGAACATTTCTGTTCTCTTCATTTAAATAAAATTGTTTAGTGTCTCTTTATAGTATTAATATAGTCTATATATCTAGATTTTGACATTAAATTAGCTGAGCTTTGTTCTTTGTGAATATTTACCACCCACTCCACATTTTTTCTATTTAATCTGAATAGTATCTTTCAAAAAAAAAAAAATTATCAATAGTTACAATTTCTTACTAGTAGACCTAAATTTTTATTTGGGAAATGCCTTTTTTTTTTTCTCTTTGACCTGTTAAATAACTAAAAATGCTTTTTCTCTTTTACAATGGAATGGATTTGGGAATGTGAACACATCTTAGATTTGCATTGTCATTTCTTGCTAAATTTTATCAGAACTTTCTGCTGTACTTCCCAGAAGATATTTTCTCCTAATTTTAAAGTGGACATTATTTTGAAAATAGAAAATTGCTAGATTTAATGTTTTGTTAGATATCTCTTTTGATCCATATGTTTCACTTATTTTATTGTTAACAGTTGGTTATTAAAAATAATATCTGGTTCCTTTTAGCCTACAAAATTTACTTGTTAAACATTGTTTGTTTTTTTTTTTTTTTTTTTTTTTTTTCTTAAAATGTATTTCCATATCTTCATATACACCAGATGTTTTTACTCCTGTTACTGTTCTGTATTTTTCCATTTAGTGTTACTCACTCCACTTACCTCATTTGCATATTTTTGTCTACCAATAATGAAGCTATGTATTTGAATCTACAATTTCATAACAGTGGCACTATTTGTTTGATTTTTCTTTTTTCCCTCTATGTCCTTTGCCGCCTGAATTATCTGGATGATCGGAACCACAACATAGTTGAGGGTATGTTCCATGGGTGGATGCCATTTTTGCAGTGTTTCCCTGCCACCTGAAATTTTGACCCTTAAATCTTTCCCCTGATCCAGATTGATAATTTCCCTCTTTGTGCAGTGGGGTTGGGAGGAGGCCTTTTGGTTTGGACTTTTTATGCTTTGTTTTATATCTTCCTCTCCCATCCAACCCCACCCACATTTTGACATTTGAGGAGTTCGCCTTTCTTCTCTCTCCTCTTATGCTTAAGTGGAATGACTCTTCCAGAATGCTTTTCAAATAGCTATCTGCTGCTTACATCATTTTACTTGAAAGCACAAAGATACCATTCTTTCTTTGCCTTATATATATATATATATATATATATATATATATATATATATAATCTGTAATATTGATAACTCTTCTTGTCACTTACCATAATTATTTCCATTTGGGCTTTATCCAAAATGATTCTATTTTAAAAATGTCTTTATTTTTATGGGTACCTTAAACCATTCCTTTCTTACTTCAGTTGTTCTTAAAGATCCCTTTAATGAACAACACTGTTCCAGTTTCTTGCCTGTGGATGGGAAATGCACTGTTGCTTTAATTTTCCTTACTAACCATTTCTTGTTCAGATTTTTTTTTTCTTGTTCTCCAGTTTCTTGTATAATTGTGGATATTGTTTATTGAATTTCATTGTTTGTTGTGATTTCTTATCTCAGTCTTTTACTAACTAAGGTTGCCTCCCAGAAACTTGAAACTGGAACTGATTTTATTTTATAGTGGCTATTTTTTTTTTCTTTTTCTTTTTTTTTTTCCTTTTTTTTTTAACTAATCATTTAAGATGTCTTTGGTTGTTTAGATGTTGTTTAGGTGTATGCTATTCTTAAGTAGGCGCAAAAAGTACTTTGCTTTTTTTTTTTTTTTTTTTTTTTTTTTTTTTTTTTTTCCTCTCTCTCTCTCTCTCTCTCTCCATATCTTTGTTTTATTGGGTCTTTGCTAAGCTTAAATTGCTCACATTATTTCTTTCATTTTTTTTTTCTCTTGAGAAATGAAATCATAAAGGTTCAAATGTAAAAATTGTAAATGCATTTGTTTACTGCTTTTCTATTTGAATATAATTAAAGAGATATATTTCCTTCCTCTACATGACCCAAATTTTAAACTGATACTCTTTTTATTACAATTCTTATTGAATTGTTTTAAATCATTTTATGTAAATTATTAAAACTGATCTGAAATAATTAACTCAAAATATTATTTGAAATATTTTTGAGTTCTCTCAAAATATATAAATTTGGATAAAAGAAACTGAATTTCTGTTACCGCTTTTGAGATATTTAAAACTGTCATATCATCATCATCATAAACTGTATTTCAACTCAATTTCATGTTGCCAATATTGATAATTGCTTCATATTGATATGTATAGAATTTTATTGTTCATTTTTCTCTTCCAATCTGTACATTGCTTGTAGCCAAATACCAGTATGTGGCCCTAGTCATGTAATAGATATATAAGCTTTTTAAATCTACTGCAATTTTTTTTTTAAATATCTAAATAAGTTTGAATTTATATCAATTTACTGTAAAGGATTTGTGCAGTCTTTTTCTCCCACCTTAAACAGGTTGCTCAGCATGCCAAAATTTCAGTTCAGTACACTTTTTAAAACTTTATCTGCCCTCATAATTCATTAGTATATTTTGTAATCTTAATATCATCTAAAAATGATTAGTTTAAGGGCAAAGTAAGCTAAGCCAGACTGCAGTTATTTGTCTTGAATCCAGTTTGTAGTTAAACATTTTGATATTATTCAGGGGTGACAATTGAGATTTTTGTTTCTTAATTGCTTGTAAAAGTTGCTACTAATTTAACATATATAATAAATTAACTGTTTTTATTATATGAAATGAAACCTTCATTTGTATGGTGTGCATCTACCCCATGATTTAGATATATAGATACTCTATTAAAAAAAAAAAAAAAAAATAGAGTTAGCCTATGATAATTTCTTTGCAAAATTTGTAGTGTTAAATTTGAATGCTCTAAACAATGAATGACTCGGATGCTTTGGAACTTTGTTGGTTGAGGTATCAGATTATATTTAAATTTTTGAAGAATGATTTGTAGAACCATTGACAATAAGCAAAATATTTCTGAGATTAATAATATTTACTTAACCTATTGGAATGATTTTTGTTGTAATATGTTGTCTTTGCTTTAACAAAATCTAATTTACAAGTATTTTTATTTGTAAATAGAAATTAGTTCAAATGTTTCATTTATATTAAACATGAGAGTTGCATTTGTCTGTATGTCGGTACTTAAATTTATATATATATAATGGTAAGTTATATTAAGGAAATAATATCCCTCCACAAGTTCTATAAAACCTTTAATGTTGGCTATAAATGTGGTCTTAGATTGGGTATGTACATTTTTTGAGATTTTGATTGAATGTGAATTTCATTTAAACTTGATACTTATTTCAAAGGAGAAATCAAAATTTTTGTATTAATCTATACAAGTTATTAGCAAATTTGATCTAATTGATATTGATGGCATTGGTATTTTGAAATAGATTTAGTGATACATTGTTAATCTTAATTTTTCTATTGCCTACCAAAATTTTCTTACAGAAAAATAGAAAAAAGGTTAGTAAACTTCCATATCTTTACTTTCTTTTTGAGCAACTTGACATTTACTTCAAATATGTGATCTACAAAAGGAATTAAAAACATTGTTATAAATAATACATCCTTGGCATAATTGACTAATTTTTATTTTAATTGCTAATTTTATTGGATTTATAAAGGTATTAATTTTTTTTGTTTGGTCAAGATTTTGCTTTTTCTTTTTCTCTCTTAACTTTAAGATTAGAATGAGCATTTTCTTTTCTTTCCTTTTTTTTTTTTTTTTTTTTTCCTCCTTTCCTTCAAAATGAAAATTTTTTGCCCCTCAGCTTAATGCTGAGTGTTTGTTTAATACCAGAAAATGCCAATGGCTTTCAATATGCTTAAATGTTTCTTTTGCTGGGTGGGGGTCTGGCACTAGCAGATTTGGCTGAGATTTTGCTGTATGAGCTAGGGCAATAAACACAGTGTATTCCCACTCCTTAGAATAATCTTTACTCCTATTAAAAGGAAAAGTAATGGAATTACTTCAACTTAAAAATATCTTTAAGTCCATAGATAGTTGATATAAACCTGGTATTAGCTTTGCCCTGTGATATACTGCATGGTTTTCTGTCATTCCCCACTTTTTATTTTATTTTTATATGATAAGGTAGTCAGCTTTATTCGATTTGTCAAGTATATTTAAGGAAATACTAACTTTCTGCAGAAATGTTTCTTAAAATATTTAACACATTTGTTTTCTGGGAATTTAAATTGTTTGCTTGCTCTGCTTATCTGGCAATCTGCTGCTGAAATCTCTTTTTTTTTTTTTTTTTTTTTTTTTTTTTTACACACTATGTAGCATATGAACTTTTTATAATATGCCTGTTTATATTTCATTTGAGATGTTCCTTAGCATAAAGATAAAAATTGTTTTCAAGCACAGTGTGGAACTTTTTATTTATATACACACATCATTTGGATTTTTAAAGTGTGCTCTAAATTGCTTTGATGTTAAAAACAAAAAACAAAATACCTTTCAATCTGGTTATGTATATAATTTCTTTTTTGTTTCTTACTGGTTTTTATATGTTTCATCAGTAACTTATTTTCAAGTGCTTATTCAATCAAGTAAGCAGCTACTAAAATTGCTAACAAACCAAAATACATTTTATTTCGAGTGTCAGTGTATTAAAAAAAAAAAAAAAAGTAACTAAAGTTATTTTTCAGATTTTTTTTTTTTTTCTTGAATTTTCTGAAATTGCTCATTTTCTTTATAATCGATTTCACTTAATACCTTCAAGTATGCTAAATTATAACCTGTTGGTCTCTACTAATTCTACATTTCTTTTGCTGTTCTCTTTTGTCTCTCTCCTAAACAATTTCTTAATTTCAAACTTGTTTGCTGATTCAATCCAATATTGATTATTAGTATTATCATATTGTAGTTTTGTGAGCAGCTTGCATTTAATACTTTACCAACTTATGTGCTGTGTATTTAAAATTTGAGTATAAATTGATCATAAAGAAATTTGTACAATTGGCTTTGGTTATTCAAAATAATGATTTTATTATCTTTTTTTCTATGTAACTGTTAAAATTAAGTATTTGTGCAAACTACTCAGTTTAAACTACAACAAAAAAAATGCATATAATATATAGCTAAGTTAACCATTTTTTTTACAAACCAAGCAAGAATTTTTATTTGGTTATGAATGTGTATGACTTTGAATATACATTTACTTTAATCTGCCAACACAGAAAAATCAATACAATTACTTTGTAAAATTATTTTCCTCAATTTATTATTTTTCTTTTCTTAGAAAAATGATCGATATGAAGAGTTGCGACAATGGCAGGACAAACACAAGTTTCACATACAGCGGCTAGAGCGGATTATGCGGATGGTAGACAATGATGCATTACCTCTCGACCAGGTTTGCAAGGCTTCCTTTTTTCTTTTTTTTCTCTTATGTCAATTATCCTTTTAATAATTGAAATAAGCATATACACCCTGTAAACAAAATAGCATGAACTTACATTAACTGACCAGCTTCTACCAAATAGTGTATTTTTTGTTTTGTTTTCCTATAATTTCACTTCAGATAATAAAGGATTAAATATATTCCAAATTTTAATTTATGAAAATATTAAGTCCTTCCATTTTTATAACTTCAGTTTTTGTTTGCTTTCTATCAAATCCAAATTTTAAGATTATGTATGCAATTGGATTTATATCTTTACTCTTTTTCATCATATGATTGTTATTCATGCACATTGTAAAAGGCTCTGACCTTATTTCTTTAAGGCAAACTATAATTCAAAATGCAGCCATGGTATTAGTTGACAGTTGCTTTGATCACTTTTAAGAACTGAGACTTGATAACCAGTTGCTTCTGTAGTTTAAAATTTTAAATATTTTCTTTTCTTTTTTAGATAAGAAAGATCAAAGATGATGTTGAATATTATGTGGAATCTAACCAAGACCCAGACTTTGAAGAAAATGAATATTTGTATGATGATTTAGATCTTGAAGATCGGGGTGAGATTGCATTGGATTTTTAATTTAGGCAAAAGGAATTTGAATAAAGCTTCATATTTTACCTGGTGCTAACTTGTCTTTGCACTGATTAAAGACACACCAAATACATTGAATTATTCTCTCTCTCTCTGCATCAACATATGTATGTAATAATTTATTGATCAATTAGAAATAAGTATATAAATAGATTTTTTTTTTTTTATTTATTTATTTTTATTTTTTTATTTTTTTTTTCAGTTTTAATGAAAAATAGTTTTAAAATTGATGAAAACCAGTAAAAAAAAATGCATGCATTTCAACATTTTTTTTTTAATTAAACTTGAGTTGAATTTTATGGAAGACATGTCTGGCTAGAGATCAGCATATTAGCCAAAGTTATTTTAAGATTTAATAACAAAAGCTATAAAATTTATACATTGTATTTGCTTATTTAATTGATGGCATTAATCATACTTAATGTTAGGAAAAAATACAGTAAGAAAATACTATTTGTTTAAATGCACTTAATACACTTAATATTTTTTTATTCACATATAGAAACTAGAATTTCACTTAATTGACATTATGTTGGTAGTTCCTATCAAAAATTGTCTCTGATTGTCTTGTTGATGTTTAACTATGGATCTTCTTACATTCATATACAGATTAAATTACATTTTATTAAAAAGAAACTTAAAGCTCTAATTTAATTTAAATTTTTTTTTTTTTTAAATTTATAACTGTTCTGAGTTTTGGAAGACTGCAAAAATCTGAGTCAAGTTTGGTAACCAAAGAAGCAAACTGTATATATAGTAGTTTAACATATTTTCTTTGCAAACCATGCCTTGTCATCCACTCTCCCATTCTTTTCATCTTTTTCCAAACATCGCTCTTATTTCATTATTCTGATATCTCTCTATCTCATTATCCAGGCACTGGCATGTTAGCAACGACACCACCTGAGAATGATGAACTAGAGAAGTTATCCAGCACACCTACTTCAACAAATTCTAATTCTCCTTCTCCTAGTCCAAGTCTAACTGTCAACCATTCCAAGGTAAGAACCTATTTTTTTCTTAAATTATCTATAGCTCATGGAATGTTGTGTGCATATGGCCTGATTTGTTTCTCATAATTAAGGACACAATTAGCCAACCTGGTTAGTATTAAATGTTTCCAACTTATTTTGGAACTGTATCCAATGTCACATGCCTGTGTGTGTATGCACACATACATATTCCTTTTCAGAACAAGTTTTAATATTGTTAAAATGTCTACTATATGCAATATGGGAGCTGCACTTGGAGAGGTAACTATTAAAATATACTAGGAATACAGCATGCAAAGACAAACTGTTAAATGATAAGAATTAATGTTGCACATCCCCAAACCCTTTTAAATCCTTTTCTCTTGCTATTTTTCATCTCTAATTTTTAGACTATTTATTATATCCTTATAATATTTAGAATTCTATCAAAATATTTAATTACAGAATCCTTTCATGGCTTATACATGATATTTATCTCTCACTACAACTTAGTTTTTTTTGTTTTTTTTTTTTCTTTCATATATTTTACAAGCATAAAGTCTAAGAATGTGGGTCCACATTACTTTTCAACCACAAAGAGTTTTGTTTGTATTCAGACAAAACTATATAAACAGATTCAAGATTAAATAGATATTGATCTATTTATATAATCAAATGAAGTTTAATAGTTTTATAAACTCCATCTAAATTGTTTAGCTTAATTGTAAATTAAAAGAAATAAACTCTATCATTTAATCTAAAAGTAAGTTTTGCTGAAAGAAAAAGTAAAATTAGATATGAATAAAAATTTCATCATATTTACTAAACTTATAGCAGAAAAACAAATGATGGGAAAGGAAGATTGTGTTGCTTCAATCTTCCTAGTGGAGAAAAATCAGCATTCAAAATTCAGGTTTTTACCTGTGTTTAAACTCTGACCCTCTAGCAAATGTGCAAAATAAATATAAAACTATTTCAGTCATGAGGCAAGTTACAAAAAGGCAATTTGAATACATCTTAAATTCTTTAATTTTCATCAAATATAACATTCAATCCACTGTAAACTATTAGAATTGCTATGTATAAAAAAAAGTCTCAGTTGAACAAGGTTTTGCTTGTTCTGGAGATGGTTAAAAACCCTTCTGCAGTATAATGTAAAAGTGGATTTGTCTTTCATTGAGTTTATATCTTCTCCTTTTATATTGTACTTTTGCAGGATAAGAGTGAAGATTCTGAAAGAAAAAGGCACAAATCACTAACAGATGATGTGAGTTTGAAAAAAAATGTTTTAGTCTTTAATAGTTGATAAAAAAAGTACCTTTTAGTACATAAAATGATTAGTTTCAAATATATATCCTACTTAAACAATATCAGTGAACAAATAGTATTGGTTCCAACTAGACTCTCTACAGGAAGACTGTCATAATATGGAAGAATACAAAATATGGTACTATAAAACTAACTAAGCCAATCCCCCCCCCCTAAATGGTAATTTTTCTGTAGTTAAATATAATACGGCTCTGAAATCTTATGCATTCATATTCAAATATAAAGGCTAGTTTTAAATAGTATAACATGAACGTTCCTGTGAATTTATCCCTTCTAAATTGTAGCTTATTAAAATGTCTTAAGATTATTAGTATTCTTTAAACATAGCTGTACACAACTTTAAAATGGTAAGTCTGCTGCCATGCCCCAATTCTCCTTATTCTATTTGTCTACAATTATTCAACAGTGCATTTTGTTTTGTTTTTTTTTGGTGATCAAGAAAATCACTAAAAATAGTTTTAGCAGGTTTAAAAATATTTATGCATGGTATATTTGCTAAGTATTTGAATAGTTAGGTATAATAAATGATTTTTCTATGAATTTCATATGCATTTATATTATCAAAACTTGCTACTTATTTTGTTGTTTTATTTTCTATTGTATTTTCAGAAAAATAAAAATAGTCAAACCTCCACCTCCACAACTACACCTTCATCTTCGTCTATATCAAAAGTACCCAACACCCCAACAAAACAAGTGCTTAGGTGAGTATGAACTATAACTTTAGAGTCCTTATAAAATGATTCCCTTAGACAATAATTTGAATTTCTTAGCCCTTCAAGAAGTTGTAAGAAATAACATGTGATTGAAATTTTGAAATTAGTTACATTTTAACTGGAATTATTTTTTCTAATTGAACTTAAAACATTCCTTGGTTTTGCTTAAGTAACTTGGATTGGGTTATTTTGTGTCTTTTTTCTATATTGTAATTTTGTAATGCAGATTCCATGTTCAAAGGATATGTGCTTAGTTAAGGTTTGTTTTGAATGTTATTTATCTAAAACTTATTCTGTATAGAAAGTACAATGGTTTTTTTTAAATGAAATTTTGGTTTATTAGAACCAAAAATGTAAAGGCACAGTGTGAGTTTGACAAAAATTTTTCTTTTATAGCATATAAAATAATCAAATCCATTTTTCAATGCTCTCTAGCCAAATTGATATCATTTTGTAGTTTATGAATCATTTGAATTTTATCAGTGAGTCTGAAATTCAATTTTTAGAAAAGTGTAAGTGTCTAATGGAATATAACAAATTAAAAACCTGGATTTATTTATTTGTTTTTATATGTATAAATAATATTAGTATTTGACATATGTAAAATTACTAATTTTTCTATTCAGTAATGCAACAATAGCTAATTCCGTCACCAGTAATCATTTGACGACGACAACAACCCCACCACCACAGACTCCATATGCAGCAGCTGCAGGTGGTCAACAGTCCAACAGTACAGGTGAGTCAGGATGATTTACTTTGACAAATACACACATTGGATTTGTCCTTTATAAAAATCTTCACAGGGGTACCTGAATTTCTCATTTGTACTTGTATGATGTAATAATTTGCAGAAGTCATACGAATAAAGGGAAATTTCATATTGGTACAAAAATTTGTATAGTTTATAATCTCTATTTGAAAGATTTTAAAGCATAAAGATCTCGGACAAAAATTGTAAATTGTGATTTTTAAAACGTGTTTACCAGGTGTATTGAATCATTTTAAAAATAGGCAAAAGAAAAATTTAAAATGTTATTAATCCAATAATTTTCGCTCATACTTTTTCTGTAAGTGTTTGATAAAAGGTTCAAGTTTTTAAGAATAGCTTAGATGTTTTTAATATCTAAAATGAAAAGCATATGTGAAAGTGATATTCTTTGAGAGCTGAATATTGTTATATTACATTGATTAATCCTACATTTTCATTTTATGATAAAACATAAATCGAAGAGTTTTTTTTTTATTCAATAGCTTGTGATTTTATGCATTACTGCATATTACTAACTTTTAAAGGTTGAATTTCTCTTAATAGTTAAGTTTTACTAGCATGCCAATATCAAGTGCCTTTTTTGTGTAGCATTTTTTTTTTAAGTATGACCCAAAAGTATGTTGAATTTGAACAGATTGATAAATCTATCAATTTACATTATATTTTCTGTATCTCACCACACATTTCACATAACTCTTCAAATTAAACCCACAGAGAATAAAGAACTTGAATATTGACTCTTTTAGAAATTTATTTCCCAGTTTTAAATTCTTCAAATTTAGCACTTTGTATGTTATGCTCTCAGTTAAATTTTTCTTGCAACATTTAACTAGAAACAAGCTTTTTTAAAGTAGACCATACATATATACAGTAATTATTTAAAAGTATAGAACACAATGTTACACTTTGTCACTTAAATCTCTTCAAGTGTTTATAAAGAAGTTCATTTTAAATTAAAACCAATGAATCAATGTTTTTCATAGCAATGCTTTTAAGCTTTATGAATTTTGATTCAGTTTAGTTTAGGAAACTAATAAAAAGACTAACTCAGATTTTTCACTTATTGACTATTTTTCAGATGTGAAAAATCAAGTGAACTCCCTTGATCATTCTTCTTTGAACAGTTCCAATTCAAACAATGGAAACAGTTCTTCTGTTCCAGTTCCTTCATCCAATCTAATAACTGCTACTACTGTCAGCAACAATACTATTGCAACAAACTTTGTTGGCAATCCTTCTGTAGCAGCCACAGCAGCTCAAGGCCCACCAAGAGGCACACCATCGCCATTACCCAATGCAACTTTACCAGTTAGTTCAGGGACACTTATTACATCTTTATCATCATCAGTATCCTCTATGGCATTAATCTCTTCCTCGACAGCAAATACTACTAACAGTAGTAGTGTAGGTGTTGGGAGTGCAGGCACAGCCAGTGCTACTTCTAATATGGCTGGTAAAAAATCTGAATCTGTTATCTTGAATGGTCCTCTCAATGCTGTTGGGCCCTCTTTGAATAAGGTAAGTTTCTTTTTCAATGCTTCACTCATACTCTTTAAAAGTACTATAGATATTTTTATGCCATGTTATTAAACAAATATGAAAGCAGCATTTTAAACATATCTTCATTCTGTTTCAGCAACATAGATTTTTTTTTTTTTTTTGTTCAATTCAATTCTACTTTGAAATGGTCTTCAAAAAATTAATAAATATCTCCAATTTTGGATTAATGTTCATATGTATTTCATGGTATTAGACATAATTGTGATAACCTTATTCTTTGTATGTGATCCTCCTCCAGCAGCAGATTTAAATATGCAAATTGTAGAAATCAGTTTTTACTAGAATTGCTTCTGTACACTGATAAACATTTGATACAGACCAATAATCTTAAAGATGATAAAAATTTAAAAGTATTTTCTTTTGGAACTATTCTAAAGTTCTCTCATTGATTCCCCTCCCCACTCTGTTTCCTAACAGTCCTATATTTTCTAGTGTGCTAATTTATCTGTTTGCATTTTAAAAAATTCTCTAATGATTAAATTAATCATTTCTCAACTGGATTAGTAAATAATTTATTTTCTCTTTGTATTTAAATATGCATATATTTTGATTAATTTGGGATATTCAACATTTTCTAACTAGCTTAAATGTTTTTTGTATTTCTTTTCTTGTATGAATAACAAATATTTGACAATCATTTGATGAATATTCTAGCTTAAATGTTTTTCACAGTAGGAACTGTGGAAAAATTGTACAAATTCGAACTCTATAAATTTGCTTCCAAAATCCAACTAAAGTCTGAGTGTTTAAATTTATTATTTTGCTTATGCATTTGGCTTTTTTTTCCATAAAGTATTTGAAATCTCATGCAAATAAATAGTATGTAAATATTTTTCCGGTAGAACCAAGTTTTGTGATATCTAATTTAATACTGACCCCTACCCTAATGAGAAAAAGTGGATGCTGTCTCTTAGAAAAAAAAAAAAATGAACTTTTCACAGTTGATGCATTTTTGAAAAGCTGAAGTTCAAACTAATATACTGCTAGCCATAATCTTAAGGCCAATAAAAAAAAAAAAAATATACCTTTTGCATTGTTAGACTCAACTACTTATTTGAGTAGAGCTTCAAAAAATGAAAGAGAAAAAAAAGAAAAAAATTTTTTAGAATTTACCATAGAGAAAATTCAAATACTGGGAAATTAGGCTAAGTACAACCTGGTCAAAAGTTTAAGAGCATACCTAAAAGAAGTCCTAAACTGAGTAGGAATTGCCCAGCAAGATTTCTCAGTATCAAGTTACATAGTCATCAAAAATTCACTATTGGCATAGTAAACATAAGCATCTGCAGAAGGCTGGCTGGAATGTTATTCGAAGTGGTGAAGATGGCTTTATGGAGATCATGCACTGTTTGGAACTGATGTCGTCTATTTTTATAGACTTCCCTTGTCATTCATCCCCAAACATTTTTTCAGGTCAGGTGCACACACTGGATGGTCCAAAAGAATCATGTTATTCACCATTTTAAAAAGTCCTTTGTCCAGTAAGCATTGCAGTGATGTTCTGTTGAAAGATCCAGTCATTTCCACACAAGTGAGAGCCTTCAGTCAATAAGGCTGCTCTCTCCAACATGCCAGTGTAACCAGACGTGGTTTGCCACCTCTGTATATCCTGAAGCACCATCCTTCCTTGGAAGGAGATACCACCCCCAGATCATGATGGAACATCCTCCAATGTATTGTGTAGAAAATGTCTCCAGTGGGATATCCTTTATCATACCAGGAACATTGGTAACTATCTGGGCCATCCAGGTTAAATTTTTTTTTTTTTTTGTTCTCATCAGAGAACAAAATCTTCCACTTTTCTGTCCCATGTTTTGCGCTTCACAGTGAAGTTTAACCAAACTGTTTTTTGGTGTGAAAGGAAGCGTGAGCTTTGAAGATGTTTACAGTTTTTAAATTGTTTTTCTTGGAGATTCCATGTTATTGTTCTTGAGCTACAGTCCACATCCGTAAAAGCCTTAATCTGGTTCAATGGATGGTTTTCTTGGGCTGGCCATTTGGAATTCTTGTTCCAATCTCACCAGTGATGTTACATTGAGACAGACTTTACTTCTGCAGTTCAACAATTCTGCCAGCTTCAAACTGTCAACATTTTAGCCTTTTGCCATGAATTTACCTGTGAAAATGTTGACTATACTAATGCTTGAACACAAAGGACTAAATTTTGTTACATGTTTCATGTTTACCAATTAAAGCTTCATTTAAATATGGTCTTAAACTTTTGACCAGCTTGTATATAGCCTAATTTCCCAGTATTCAAATTTTCCCTATTAAATGCAAAAAAGTTTTTAATTTAATATATATTTTTTTTTTTTTTTAAAGCTCTAGTTGAATAAGTGGTTGAGTCTAACAGAACAAAAGGTATATTTTTTATTTTATTTTCATTGGCCTTACGATTTTGGCCAGCAGTGTATCTAGATAAAAAGGAAATGGTTTGTGCATTTTGTCATTTGGAAAGTAAGACTTTCAATTCAAAGGACATGTTAGAAACTACTTTAAGTGCCGTTTTATTATTTTGTTTCTTCTTCCTTTTTTTTTTTTTTTTTTTTTTTTCTAAATTATTTTTTAAACCTTAGTATAGGAAAATATAGTTTTAAGTTCAGGGTCAATGTCTTTTTCTGAGAGCTAACTTTCAACATGTTTTAGTTTTCATTTGTTGGTATTAGAATATACTTGTACAACATTAGCATTTTTTATGTAGTTCAACAATTAAGTGGAGAAAAAAAAAAACCCGAAACGTGTGCATGAATAATGATTCTGTTATTGAAAAACAAATGTGAGGGGGTGCAGAAAAGTTCTTGGGCTGACCCAATACCCAAAATTGGACCAAATGACCAAATACTTTTTGAAAAACCCTTGGTTGGGCTGAGGAATTTTCAACACCCCTTTGTATTTCCACATATTCAAGTGAGTTAGGCAAATTTGACATTTGGTAATTTTTCAGCTGCAAGCCACTTTCCAGCAGCTAAATCCTCCCCAAGCTGCAGATTACTCAAATAGCTATGTAAGTATGGAGTCCTTGCAATTCCTTCTCATGCCTTTGCTTCATTTTGAGTTCTATAAATGCTGTTACCAAAAGGCTTCAACAAAATTAGAAGTGGAAAATATGTCTATCATGAATTCTGTATATTTTCATACTTTAATAGAAAATGATTCAAAGTATATATGGATAGGTGGGGGGCAGTTAATTGGATTTTTATCTACAAAATTTTGCTCTCTTTTTTTTTTTTCTTTATTTAATGTTCCATTTCAAAATGATATTGGATATTGTAAAGCATCGAATCCCATAGATTTTTTTATTTTTTCCCTTTCTAAAACTTAAAAGCTTTCGGAACAATGGCATGCTATGGAATATCTTCACCCGTAAGCAAGGCTCCTGTTTTAAGCTGTTAAACATTTTTACTAATCTTTTATTTCAATTTTTGTTGAACCTAGTAAAATTGCTTGGGTTCATTTAAAAAAAAAAAAAAAAAAAAAATTCTTTTTAAAATTGAATCTCTTTTTCTTTTTTTTTTTTTTTTTTTTTTTTTTTTTCCTTTTCTTTTTATATATTTGTCATTTTAAATGTTATCATGCACACACTTTTTACAAAAACATTTATAAATTTACTGGCAAGATCCAACTTGAGTAGCCCACACAATTGCAAATATTTAAAGTACTTTATGAACATTTTTTTTTTTTTCTTAGTTTAATAAGCAGTAAGATTTATTTTTTGCTGGTGCTTGAAGAATTGGGATTTAGATTTTATAACATGAATTAAAAAAACATTTTTTGTGTTTTGCTTAATATTTCTGATTTTACATAAGTAAATATTGAGCAAAATAATTTTTGATTCTTGGATAAGGTGAGCTGAAATCAGTAATATAATTTGATTCATATTATCAGATAGTCTCTTAATTACAGTGGATCAACTGTAAGTTGAATACTTTTATTTTCATCTGATGGTTGTTGAAATTTTTTCATATATCAAAATAGTTCAAGTAAATAAAACAAAACATTTGTAAACTTAGCATTAATGTTGGTTTTTATTCCTATTTAAAAAAATCTATTTTTGAATTCTTTTATTTGTGGTAAAAACAATATCTAAAAAAAATTGTATGGGATCATTAAGGAACTCCAAAATAACTTTGGTATCCAGCCTCTGGTATGAAATTTAACTGCTCAGATTGTATTAATCCATATTAATCCAAAGAAAAGTTCTTGTATTGCTTAAAATTTTTAGCGTGTGTAGTGTTTTTTTTGTTGTTTTTTTTTTTTTTTTTTTTTTTTTTCTGTTAAGCAACAGAACAAAACTTTAAAATCTTTCCTTCTCTTCTTGAAAGAGTAGTTTTTACTCAAGGTATTTGAGACTGGTATCTTTTCTTTGCATTTGTTGCCATCTCAACAGGTTTTTTTTTTTCTCTCTTTTCTTTTTATTCATTCTTTGGCTCTCCAGACATCCAATGGCGCTTTGAATGATGATGAGGTAATATTTTAATTTGGTCAATTTAGATATTTGAAACTGAACCAAATACTTTGATTTCCCCACCCTTTTGATTCCAGTCAAATTAGATGGCAAATAAGATTTGTAAACTACAGAAAGTTTTAGCTTTTCCAAAGAATTACACAAGTCAAAAAGTGCTAATTCACAACAGTTAATGAACATAATTTGTTACTTAACAAATTTTCCCCTTGTTTGTTTTGTTTTTTTTTTGTTTTTTTTTTTTTTTTTTTTTAATGCTGACATTGTCAATACATTCTTAACTGCAGAGTAATTGATGTTGTGGGTAATAAACTAATTCTTGTCCTATATAAAATGCTTAGGTTATTCATTTAGCCATCCTATATATTTTTAACTAATTCTACCAAGATTGCTGATACAATTAGATTGTGAAATATCTGAAGAAAATTGTCCAAAGAAAAATAATTACTTTTAACTTTTTATTTTGTTTTTGTTTATTCTATCACCAGATCCCTGATTCTTTGGGTTCTTTAAAGTCAATGGCCCAGCAAGCAGTAGTGAGTGCAGGCCTGGAAAACCATATACCAACTTCAGAAGCATCAACAGCTGAGAAAGGTATCTTTTTATGCTAATTGTCTTTATATGGCTTGTTAAATGCTCAGGCAAAAGGAAACTTTTGAGGAAAAAAACTGGCACAGTGAGTTGTAGAGTTTAATGACTTGACAAATACTTTAGTACAAAGTTAGGTAAGTTCTAAAATCCTGACACTCTCAACTTTCAGACTAGATATAGCACATATCACTTAGGAAATGTATTAAAAATGCCAAATATTTGTTTGCAAGCCAACTGGGGAATTTATTTGTCATTGTGATGCTTTATTGGGTGAGGAAGAATTTAATCTTAACATTAACCAAAAAGTTCATCAAATTCTTTTATGCTAGTTGAAATAAAGACTAAATATTTTCTTTCACAAGATCAAATAAGACTGCATCAAGTTTATAATTAGTAATTTAATTCAGTTTAAACCAAATCTCATTTGATAAACGAAAAGATTCCAAAACATTCTTGCCATCTGATTAAAGATTTTTAAATAGGATGGAAATATTGAAATGCTGACAGTTGCCTCTGTTTACTTTTAGAAAATTCAAAAGAAAGCTAGCGGTGGGGGGGGGATGTAAACTTAAAAAAAATGAAAATTAGCAATTTATAATTTTTACAAGAAATTTGTGATATGAAAAAATAAGTTTTATTAGTTTGGAAGTTTTATTCAAAGTTTTATAAATATACATTTTTGGTATTTTACTTTACTAATACTGTGAGAGACTAAAATATTCTTGTTCCTTTCTGAAATCTTAAATTCATATTTAGTTAATAGATGGGGGAATATTTCACTGTTGCAAAATCAGCAGTTTTTTTTTTTTTTCTTGTAGCAAATTTATTGATTTCTGAGTTCAGTTGTCTTGGTAAAAATGCTTTTGTTTCAAGCTTACTAAAATTTCAACTGTTTTAAATTGGCAACTAATCTTTTTAATTTAGTTCTGTTTAACACTCTTGAATTGAAATCTGTAAAAATAATCATGTTTAGGGTCACTGAAATAGCATGCAGTTATAGCTTCATTTCTATTTTTCTCCTATTTCTCCTTTTATTCTGAAGGATTTTTGTGAGCTTTTTACTTTCTGTTAGCATTAATTTTTTTTTTTTTTTTTTTTTTATCTTTTCAATTTTTAAAGATATTTTGAAATTGTCATATATTTCTAACTTGGCTAGAAATGTTTTAAAATTTTATAGCTCACAAATAAAAACCTAAAATCATTTTGTAGTCTTTTTTAATTTCAATAAGATTAAAGAAAAAAAACTTCTCTCTGTATTTTTATAATTTTAAGATTTTTTTCTATTGTTTTCATGATTATTTGGCTATATTTCATTAAGTTTTTTTTTTTTTTTTTTTTTTTTTTTTTTTGTAGTAATTTTTGAGAATGCAACCTCAACTCCACCAACAACACAGGCACCACCTCAGCATGGCGTGTCTTCCCAAGAAGCAGCATTACCGCCCCAGACAACAACAATACACTTAAATCCTATATTAGGAGTGGCACCATTGGGGCCTTCAGCACTAACAAAAGAAAATTATTACCAGCTTACGATGTTGGAGGCAGCTTTTAATCATTTACCACACCCATCAGATTCTGAAAGGTTACGGTAAGTTGGATCTCTGTTAGATTTGTAGAATTAGGATTTATGTCATTCCTCTATGAAACATTTTCTCCAGTTTCCATTGGGAATATACACTGTTAGATTTTTGCAAGTCAGTTTTTTCATTATAAAATTGGTTTGAACTAAGTAATGTTGGTAACATTTTCAGGATATATTTTACGTTTTATTATAGAAAGGGAAACCTAAATTTATATCTATAAATAAATCCCAAGCATCTAGTTTCTTGTACATACCATGGCAATCTTTATATTTTTGAAATGAAAGAATAAAAAAAATCAGTAATTATAAATATTGTAAATAAATGTCTAGTACATAAAAATAACTGAAAATTGGAGTGGTTGATATGCTGCTAAAACCACCAACCAACCATATTTCAGAAAATTTTTTGATTTTAAAATTCTTGAATTTTTTTTTTTTGTTTTCTTTTTTTTTTTTTTGGTACTATTAAAACAAATTGCCAATATATCCAGTGATAAGAATTTTAATTTGCTAGTAAGACTAGTAAAAGGATCCATTTTTCCCCTATAAACCATACTATATTGTTTTCCATTGTCATAGACATCGTTTTTAATGATAATTTACAAGTATTACTATCTAGATAGGCTGTGAATTCATTTCATTAATTTAGTGGCTTTGAAATTTTTTGGGCAAGGTGGATAATTGTCAGCTTTGCAGGGTGTGAAGGAGCAGTGTCTTGCAAGCATTTATTTATTTGTTAGCTAGAATACTTTTTGGCTGTAACCTTCAGTGGGAAGTGAGGGAACTACTTGTCAAAAAAACTTAAATAATTCTCTGCATTTTTGTTGACACTAATCAACTTTGAAAGACCTACAATACTAGTCCAATATTCAAGCGAACAACCAACCATCTGATTAATAGTTTCTCTCCTGTTGGTGATTTTGATTGATTTTCTTCCTACTGTTTTCTTTTTACAGGCAGTATTTACCACGCAACCCTTGCCAGACTCCATCATATTATCCTCAAATTCCACCTCAACATGCAGATACTGTAGAATTTTTTCAACGACTCTCCACAGAAACATTATTCTTCATTTTTTACTACATGGAGGTAAATAACTCTTCATTGTTATTCTATTTCTTTTATATTGCATTATATATTTTTTTATTCCTTTTCATTACAAAAAATACCATTTTTAAATTTTATTTTATTTACAAATATTGAATATTTTTCAAATAATTAGAACTAAAATTATCTGAGTATTCTCTTGAAATTTACCACTCATTTGTAGTGGATATATTTATAGTTAACACTGGTCTTTCTATTAGGTTGGAATACAAGTTTGTAGCTTAAGTGAATTTCAAAGAAAATATTTAGATATTGTACATGACTATACAGCCACATATGTACCATTTTATTCTACCTTTTGTCATATTTGAGGCATTTTCAAGATTCCATCCTCTTAGAATTTGGCATCTTTCTGAATAATGATCTGGTCTAAATGGTTTTTACAGGCTTTTAAAAAATTAAAGTTTTTCTTAAGAATAAAATTGGTAGAGCTTAACTGAAACGTTGTAGTACACTTGTTGTATTCATCTTTAGATTATGACTTATTTTGATCTCTAAAGATCAAAATAAGTCATAATCTAAAGATGAATACAACAAGTGTACTACAACATTTCAGCTAAGCTCTACCAATTTTTTTTGTTGTCTGCAAAGAAACGTGGTGTCCTGATTGAAAGACAACACTCTTTCAATTGATTAATTCTAAATGTTTCAGTGATTGCTGTTCAACTGGAAACAATAGTTTTCTGAATTTTGGAGAAGGTGCTCTTAATACACAATGCCCTTTCAGTCTCTCCAGATGCATGGCGTCACCTTTGGAGTGGTTTAATGGTAGCTTATTTTGTTCACAATGCTACCCCACCTTCCAAACAAATCTTTTTTAACTCCACATTTTTGTAAACAATCCATTTTTCATTGCCTGTGATTGTTCTTTTTCAAAATGGGTTGTTTTTCAGCAGAAGATAGCTTTTAATGCTGTCAAGTTAACTCCCCCCCTCCTTTCCGAACCCCGAGACACCCGAACGTTGTAGCGATTCATATATCAATGGGTTTTAGATTCCTTACTCCACATATCGCATTGAGGATTGTATCTTTGTAATGTCCTTTCTCATGTGACCGGGATTATTTTTAATGAACATTTTGATTTTGTCTTTATCTCCTCCTGGAAGATTTGCAGTCTTCCAAATCAAAATTTAAACTTCTGAACAGTACTTTCAGTTATGGCACCATATATATATATATATATATATATATATATATATATATATATATATATATATATATATATATAGCACACATTTTTCTGTTTGAACTTTTTTTTTTTTTTTCTTTACCAAAATAAAAGAGAATCAAATGATGAAAATGTTCCTCCATTTTTCACTTTTTAATAGTGAGAAATTGAGGAACATTTTTATTTAAAATTCACAAGCTATACAAATATTTTATAGAAAGATAAATTGTCACTATTCAGAATTTGTGTATATGTCATAAATTTCAGTCATGTGTGAAACAAAATCCATGTTCAAATGCCACCTATTGAAAAATACTACAATCTTTTGTTCCAACCCAGGACTTGACTGTCCTGAATAAGACAATAAAACTATTGGATTGGTGCATAATTATCAGGCGTTTTTAAACAATATTTATAATGAAAAAAGAAACATAACAATTCAGCAATAACATTTTTAAATGATTATTCCAGAGCATATGATTATTGACATGCATTCATATAACCTGAAAATAAAAAAGTTGTATTAAAAAAAAGTAAACAAAACAGTAATTTTTTATTAACAAATAGCTTGCCTACAAAAACGCCTGATAATTATGCACCAACCCAATACATCCAATAAGGCCTTTGATCAGGGGGTTTTGAGGAGCATGGAACAATCACAATTGCCAGTGTTCCCAGGTCCATCCTGACCCAGAGTGGTAGCACTCGTTAGGGTCCAGCTATGGGCAAATAGTTAACCCCCAAACTGGGGTCAAAATACTGTGAAAGTGTAAAAATAAGTTTTAATACCAGCAATGAATTTTTGAAGAAAAAAATTATTACCAGCATTACATTTTTGGGGGGAAAAATATTAGCAGCAATAAAAAATCTTGCCAGCATTAAAGGTTGATATGCTGTAAAACAAACCAAATCAGTACTTGATGATTAGATTTAAGCAATAATAAACATTTGGTGAATTATTAATTGAATCACTTTTATTGGTAGTAGGTATTATTGTAAGCTTTCTCTGTATTTAAAAATGAATCAGATCCTGGATTCATTTAAGATTTTGAATTTAATTACTTTTGCCTCTTCCTTTTTGAATCTAGGGTACCAAAGCTCAATATTTGGCAGCAAAAGCCTTGAAAAAGCAATCCTGGAGGTTCCATACAAAGTATATGATGTGGTTTCAAAGGCACGAAGAGCCTAAAACTATTACAGAAGATTATGAACAGGTAATCCTATTGCCATTCTGAAAAATATAAACTATCATTTAAACTTGAATTATGTGGAAATTCATCTTCGTCATTTTTGTAATGTATTTAATTAGGTGAGTAACTCCTCTTATCCAAGGTTTTAAAACATTTAAAACACTGAACTGAATACTTATTCTTCTTCGCTTCTCAACAAAACCTGCTGATTAGCCATATTTTGCTTGATATAAAGGAAAATAATTTTAAGTCTGGGTAAAATTACCTTGTTTTAATTTGTGTCAATAAAAAATGAACTTAACTGGCAATTAAACATTTTTAACTTTTACTCGTTTCATTTTTTAAGCATTTTTTTTTTTTTTTTTTTTTTTCTAAATTGTAGGGCACATATATTTATTTTGATTATGAGAAATGGGGCCAACGGAAGAAAGAAGGATTCACATTTGAGTACAGGTACCTAGAAGACCGTGATTTGAACTGAGTCAGGAACATTGGGTATTCCTGCCTCTTGGATCTGCCATGTCTTTCCTACAGAGAGGATACTTTGTTTCCTCTCTACTGCCATAGGACAAGATGAAAGAAGAAACAACAGCAACAACAACCAACTTACGACTAACTGACAGCTACTACAATATTGATCATCCAGGAAGAATCATCACACCACCACCACCAGTGCCAAGTTTGGTAGGCTGGGACTGAGGCATCTTTATAAATCTATAAGGATTACTTCTAATATTATACTTCTATTATTACTTAGATAGGTTTATATCTACCTACAACTCCATTAGTAGAGCACCAAAGAAGGGACATAATCTGAAGGAAACCTTGAAAATCAAAATATGCCGATCTTATGTAAAAAAGGAAAAAAAAAAAATTCTGAGCCTAGATAATCTATTTGTGGGAAGGGATGTGGACATTACAGAATTGTTGGGTTATGTCACTACTACTGCTGCTGCTACTACACCTAAGTCTTAGTTTGATTTTTTTTTTTTTTTTTTTTTTTTTTAAACTTCTATTTTGATAATTGCTTTAAAATTCTTATTTTTTTTTTTTAGTTTATTTAATGATTTCAATATTTGAATATCTGTTTATTGATGTTCAATTTTTATCTCTGCCTTTGTGTTGGTATATGCGTGAATCTGTTTCTTTATATTTACTGAAACTTGGACATGCATGAATACAAACACAATTTTATTTATTTATTTTGATTTAGTTATAGGTGGCATATTTTGTCCACACTCTTAATTTCTTCTTTTTTAATTAAGATTTAGATTGGGTGTAGAAAGTGAAATTCCCAATAAATCTGCTAACTTTCTGGTGTGCGTGCATATTTGGGAGGGAGGGAGGGGGTCTATTCCTTTTTCCTCTTGAATTCTTTATAATTTAAAAAAAAAAATTTTTTTATTTAAAGAAAATTGTTTTCAAACAGAAATAAACAAATTAAGAACTTAATTGAAAAAACAAAATTAATTTCTCTCTGACAGTATTACCAAACTGATTACGGTTTCCAATTCTCTGACAGAAGATTTAAGTTAGCTTTTATTCTGTGTTCTATCATTTACCAAAAAAAAGTGTTAATTTTTCTCAAAAAAAAAAAAATCCATGTATACAGGTTTTTTGTTGATTATATAAAAAGAAAATTTACTTAGATCTTTCTTACTTTATGTAATTATTTTTTTTTTTCTTTAAACAACAGATCCATCTGCATTTGATTTGGAAGTATAACTGAGTTTAGACAGATGGAACATCCATTTAGGGACGGTACATTTTAATTCAGCTTTTTATATTCCTCTCAGTTGAAATTAGACTAAAAGGACCACAGTAACTTCAAACCAATTAGAAATTACTTAAAAAAAAATATATATATATATATATATATATATATATATAAAAGATTATAATCTGATTTTTATTTCTATTTTTCTCTTATCTTTTTGTAGTGGGCTAATATCTAAAATATTCATTATTTATATGAAATACAAAAGCTTTCTCTGAAAGCAACAAGATTCTCTGCAGGTTTCACAAGAACTTTATTCCACTATTGTTTCTTTTTATTACATTTAAGTTAAATCTGCTTGTGTCAGAAACACGTACTGGGTGGCTTAGGGGCTGATAAAATATTTCAATGCCCGCAAAGCTGTTGTTTGTCCGTCCCTATTTCCCTGTTCCATGAGTCTTAAAACTTGACACTGTAATTCACCCTTGTCTTTTTTTTCTTTCAGTCTTTTACTCCCCCCTCCCCATTCTCTCCCATCATCCAGTCTCAGAATACCTTTTCTTTTCTTTTTCTCCCCAATTCTCTCAATTCTAAGCTTTAGCCTCATCTATTCTCAATATATTCATGCATTTTTAAGTATTAAAGAGAAAAATTAAAAATCAAACTATATTAGGATTAGAATTTTATTAATCTTTTCTTGTTATTCCTAGCTTGGCAATGGATGGTGTTGGCAAAAATAATGTTCTTGACTATGATTCCTAATCTCTTTATCTTAACAATGTGAAGCTGTCTTGTGGTCTCTTTATAAAACGGCCTGTGTGCCTGCCCATCTGCAGGCTAACAGTAGCAACATTGCTACTTGTTATCATTTGGCATTTCATTGTTGGCACTGCACACAGGAGTTTCCCACATGGTCAGTTACACAATGTTTTGGCTGGATAGTCTGTCAGGTGTAGCAAAAGAAAATGCTGTCTGTCCAAGGTTTTGTGCTGTTCAGCAGCACATTTCACAAAGTCTGGAGTTAGAGGAAAAAATATTGCAGTATCAACTACTTTCAAATACTGCAGGAGTCGCCATCATTTGGTTTTAGTCTTACACGTCTGTATACCATGTCCTATTTTTGTAAAGCACTTGAAGAGATGCCCATGTGCTGCTCTTCTCCCTCGTTTGGCTTGGGTGGAGGTTCTTAGCCTTGTTGCCCAGTCTTTGTACATAATAGGGGGGACGAATGCACACTGGGTAATCAGTAAATTGCTAAAAAATAAAATAACTTTGTCTGTGCAATTTGTTTGACTTTTATTTGTTTTATTTCACTTTGACTTGTTAATTTTTTTTACTCCTTAGATTAACATCAAGAAAGTCATTTTCCTTCTGCAACTCACCCTTTTTACCTGGGAACCATTTGATAAATGTGCTTTTAAGACTGTAAAAAGGCTTGAAATATAATCAAAAAATTTTTTTTTTTTTATGACAGCATTCAAGTTTAAAGAATGTTTGTCACATGCAATTAAATCCAAAGCTAGAGATGTTTCTGAACCAATGCATCAGAAAGGGAAAAAATGTGACTTAAATTACTGTTTTTACGAAAAAAAATCCTTGGAATTTGACAATTATAAAAGCCTTTTACAAGAAAGAAAAAAAAAAAAAAAAATTAAAAATAATTTTTAATTTTATGGTTGTCTCCCTTAAAGAAGTTCCAATTTTAAAGCAGCCAATGAGAAAAAGCCACCTGTCTTTTTTCATAAATGGAGAAAGGGAGGATCTTTAATGAAAGATAACTCTGATTTATTTTTTTTTATTTCCATACTTGTAAAGATACAATTTTTTTTTTTTTTTTTTTTTTTTTAAGATAATTAATTTTTGCAGAAATAGATACATGATTCCTATACTGCAATGACTTCAATACGAAGACAAAAAAATTATTTAAATGAAATGGTAAAGACCTTTATCATTAAACATTGGTAAATTGTTATAAATTCAATTTTGCAGATGCTCATCTAGCCATTATAACTTTTTTTGATAAAAATGCCATTTGTTCTTAAGTGACACTTTAGTTATTAATGAGTTGTAAAAATAGTGACAATTTTTTTTTTTTATATTTTTAGCCAGGTTCTTATGGAATCTAGTTCATTCAATTTGGAAGTGATAGCAATGTATAGATATGTATTTTATTAGAATGTTCATGTTTCTAAAATAAGTAGGCAACTTTTAAATTCATTAAAAAAATAAATCTGTTTTTATCCTCTTCTTAATGGGCTATATCTGCTGTTATTATTGTTCATATAATCAAGCCATTATTCATATTCAAAATTTTATCCTCCTTTAGCTTTGGGTTATCCTCCTTTTAGCTTTGGGATTTGTGTTATAACCCCTTCCCCAACATAGTGTTTAAACAAGTATTTAACTGGTATTTAGTGGAGCTCAAGGATCTTTTAAATAAAGACTTTATATAGGAGTTCATTTTTAAATGAAATTCCTGTTCTTTATTTCTTTCTCCAATTTTAACATTTGTTCAATACTTGATCTGCTACACTTTAACCTGTAAATTAATTTTCAACTTTTTCCATTGTTTCTAAGCCATTGTCTGAACAGGTTATCTTTATTTGGCATTATGTTTTTGTCAGCCATCCAATTCAAAAGAATATAAAAATTGCAGAGAACTCCTATTTTACGAAACTGGCCACTATATATAAAGAACTATAGCACCAATTCAAGAAGTAAAGAGTAGTGCCTCTTTATGGAAAAGGCAGTGATCAACATGGAAATGAAAGGACAGTAAATGTCATCTGATTTGATAGTACAAGACCATCACTATTAACTTAATAGGGGTAGGCCAGGTTTAAGTACTGGTAGTCCATGGTCTGTAGGTAAACATTAGTCTACATCATCACAATAGAAACTTGAAGTAGGAGGGAAAACTAAAACAACTTTTTTTATCAACAAATGTGGAAATTTGTGCAAGGTGGAAAATACAGTTTGTTACAAAGCTGGAATTAAAAATCAATTTTTTTTTTTTTTTTTTTTTTTTACTTTTAATTCTGCCTGGCCTTTTAAAGAACAGGATTAGAGGTTTATCTCTTGCTTCTGGTTCCCTCTAAAGTCTTTTTCATGCTCTTCCACTCCCAGTAGCCCCTTGCATCTTAGTGGCATTATCACCTTGCTTGGGGTGAATTGATTTAGAAATTTTTTTTTTTTTTTTTTTTTTTTTTTTAAAAGATGAAATCAGTTATTCATTTGTATTTCCATAATTTTTTTTTTTTTTTAAACTATTTTGGTTCTTAATAAGCAATGTGGATTAGAAAAATCTTTTTGGACTTTGCTTTTCTCAAGGAAAAGGAGAGACATAGAAAAATAATGTGAGTTCAATTTTTATTAGGTTTATCCCTTATTCTATATACAAAACAATGGTCTCCAAAATACAGACCATAGCTTCCCCCTGCCACATTTCTTTTGTTCTGAATTGAATTCTGCTGATAGTGGAAATGTTCCAGATAAAAATTTAGATTCTTTTAAATTTTATTCATTTATGAAATTGATTCCTTTCTCCTGCCTCTAAATTTTGTAAAATATAGTATGTCTCTTGGACTAAAATACTAGTTTGAAATTTTATACCTAAAGTAAAGAATCCTGGTCAAGTAACTTAGATTGAATTGTGATACATTATCTTATTTTTTAATTTAAAAATTTTAATGCTTAACATTAATTTGTAACTTTTAGTGTTGAAATAAATAAAGTCATGTAAAAATCAAAGTAAATAGCACAAATCAAAATTTCAGACAAGATTTGAATTTGCATCCTGTATTTTTGAGAGCCTGTCTTACCAATTAGTCTATGAAACACAACCAGCTGAAATACTTTATCCTGATTCTAAAGCCTATTTAAATGTCCTATTTATTTAGACTCAGTAGTAATAAGCCTTAAGTTGTCAATTTCTGAGATGAAGGGTGGTTATTACAGGTGCTACCCTATTTACATTCCTGTTACTTAGGCTGTGAATTCAATTTGAATTTAGTCTTAACCTTCATTATCAACTTTGTAAAAGATAGCAATGTTTAACCTAAGGAGTAAAACTTCAAAAGTAGCAGTAAGGCGTGGGTTAGAAATAAATAAATCCAACTTTAGGAGGTGAGGATAAATGATGCAAGTAAAATGTACAAATATTTATTTTTATTTTTTTATAAAGTTATTTTGTTCGGCTTTGCTGAAGATATGGTGTCATCCCTGTTTATTGTAGTGCTGCTCATTCAACTTTTTAACTTGTTAACTTATCTGAATTGAAACCATTGTGAGGAAAAAAAAAAAAAAATTCCATGGTTGGGGTCTAAATATTGCATCAAGCTAAGTGAATTTCTACCAGAAAATTAAATGTAAACCACAAGATGGAAAGGAAAATTGTTTTAATAGAAAACATTTTATTTCACTTATGGTACAAAACTGGTATTAACCCTTTCAGTCTTTCTCTGGACTGTACTGTTGTTATTGAAACTTGCAAGTGAGAAGACTGGTATGATATGTATGAATCCTGTGCCAAGTTGACTTTCCACATCTTTCAGGATTCTTCTTAGGGAAGGACTTCTGTTTTGAATGTGTGTCATAAGATGTATTAGATAGCAGTTTGCTATTTCAGATCTTCAGGGTGGTGCTTTATGAGATGCAGAGAAAGTGTTGCAATGAGCAGGTGGTATAAGAAGCTTTATGTAGGTATCAGCTTTGGTCTTGGATGCCAATGTCAAACTGATCTTCATCCTGCAAGAAATCATTTTTACATTTTGGTGGGAGGTCTTTGCATTTATTGAGTGTACTTTGCTCAAACCCTCTTCTGTAACTGACCCTATGCACTGTTGATCTCTTGCTGCAACTGCTGTCTCTCAGCTCAAAAAAAAAAAAAAAAAAAAAAAAAAAAAATTCTAATTCCTGTGAATATAAAATTAATTACTTAAAAATATTCAATTTATTATTGGGTTGTCCAGAAAGTTCATGCTGATTTTTGTTCATGTTCCAACACGTTAGAACATGTCAAATTCATCGACAGATATAATATGCTTACATTAGAGTTAGAGCACACTTCAAACTATCTCTTGAGAAAGAAAGTTTAAAATTACTTAATTCATGTCAATATTTCATCCCTATGAAAATGGAAGGTTTTAGACACTTGATGCTTTTTTTTATTTATTTATTGTAAAGGCAAAAATGACCCACAAGCAACAAAAATATGTATGGTGAAGGTGCTTTAGCTGACAACTGTATAGAAGTGGTTCATTAAATTTAGAGTTGGTGATTGTAGCTTCATTGATGAAGGCTCAGACAGGTCCCCCCTCCTCCCCCACCTACTACAGATGACAACCAAATCAAGACATTGATTAAGAATAACCTGCATTACATAACATGGGAATTTGGCAGAAACACTGAATTTATCAAACTTCATCATCCATGAACATTTAGTGAAGCTTGGGTACTCAAACAACTACAATGACAATGTTTGGTTGCCACATGAATCTTTTGGAACACATTTCATGTGATTTACTGTATAAATACAATAAAAATGCAGCCTTTTTTTTTTTTTTTTTAAAAAGCAAAATTGTGATGGATGATAA